TGTGTGTGTGTATATATGTGCATGCGTACATTTGTGTGTGCACTCATGTGTTTACTTTATCCAGAGTCAGGTCCAGGCTCTCTGTAGCCATGGCCTGACTAGAAAGCTCTGCCTTCCGCCACTCAACAGCCCCGGTCTGAAAGATAAACACACACTGCCACCACTCTGACATGGCTCATCTAAGGATGATTTTTATCCATGTGTACTTACGGGACCTGAGAGACCTTTAAGTTGAAAGGTCTTGGGCTAGAATTTCTTAAACTATAGCCTTGTATAGAATAATTTTCCTAACAGTATTGGATTACACAATTCCTTAATCTTACCTACAGAGCATATTCATGGACGTTTTACACTGAATGCAGTTTTATAGTTTGGTTTGCACCTTTGTAACTGTGACATGTGTATTTTACTTTTTTATATTCATTATTTGTCACCTTGAATTTATCCATTTATATTTCTAATCCTTAATCTTTTAGCACAACTGTAAGAGCATGCCGAATTGCATTTCATTATACATATTACTTGCATATGTGAAATATAAACTTTTAAATCTTTAAATCCTAGTTTATGACCATATTATTTCTTTTCATCTCTTCCTTTACAAGTAAGACATGCATACACATTGGTTCACTGACTCAACACTATGAAGAGTGTAATTAATTATGTATAATTATTATGGGATTTCTGATGTAGTGAAGAGTGACAGCTCAGTTTGAAAAATAATAAACTCAATGCCTTGAGTTTATTATTTTTCACTGCATCTGAAATATTTGTCCCATGTTAGAGGAATCTGGCTTTTATGTTTTGGTTGTTTGTCCTTTCCTTTTTTCTTGTTTGTGTGTTATGTGTATGTTGTTTATGACAAAATCAAATTATTGTTTTATTTTATTACAGGTATCTGTATTGTCTTATTCCTTTTGATTTAGATAATTTAGAGATAATTTACCTTAAGATCATTAAATGTACATACACAGGGAAGGAAATTAGACCTCATACAACCTCCATCACTCTTCCCTCTTACACACACACACACGTTCAACCATTGGACTGCAATACACTGCTCTCCCTCTCCCACAACGATCTCAGGGGAAGACTATGTAATGCAGCACTGCTGAGAACGCGCCATGAAAATATAAATACAACCTCGCCGCATTTCAACCATGTAAATAAACAGGGCCACCCAAATTTCCAATTAGAGCTGGTGTGGAAGGCAGGAAATGGAGTAGACAAGAAGAGACCACACCCCCTTCTCTATTCCTCCACTCCTGCAAAGAGTCCAGGTCCAGGTCCAGGTCAGGGACATGCAGTGGCATTCGAGAGGGGAATACAGCATTCAGCAACCCACTTAAGGCTTCTTGCACGTCTCCATCCAGCTCCTCCTCTCATTACCTACCTAGCTTCCACAAAATTCACATATGGCCATGGAACGAATGTGTGGGATTTGATACTTATACCTACGAAATCACTATAATCTTGGTAATACATAAGATTTTTTCAGTTCACATGCCTCCACCTTGCAAACATTTGATTTACTTCATTTTGAGAAACCCAGCCTTATATCAGCTTGCCTTATCAGTCCCATTGAGGTTATCAGGCAGTTTCTATCTGGCTGAAATGAGGCATTCTTACTGTATTCTGCGTCTTCTTGGAACAGCTAGGCACCGTTATTTTGCAGCTAAGCCCCGAGACCACCCAAGAGCTGGGGTCCAGTTGTGCGAAGCAGAGGCAGGATCCTTGTTGTGATAAGAAAGACAAGCCTTCTCTAAAGAGAGATGGTGCTTTGATAGTGTAGCAAGATTTGCCTGATAGCTGCCGGATCAAAGTCTGATAGACTTGCCTGGCACTCACTGGGTCGAGCTCATGTGCCTGTTGGTCAATCACTGCTTCAGCTGCGGTCAGTCGGCAAACAT